AACATAAAGAAACCACTTTAGCTTGTAAGGAGTTTAGGTGTCTCCTACTCTGCCATTCTTTATACTTAAGTTTAAACATTCACATTATTAAGATGACCTTACATACCACCAAAACCAAAATTTTATTTTTTATAAAGTGAAAAAGCTTTAATTTATTGAACATCTGGGAAAACTTCAGAAGAGCAAAATAACTGCTTAGATAATTATTTTACCATTATCCTGTGTGAGAAGTCTATGAGCTTCAAGGTCGAACTCTTCTTTGCTGATCTTCTGCTTGAACCACAACTTTAAGTTAGCCCAGTATCTGGAGAGGCAGAAACGACATTAAGAACCACAGATTTGGCTTCTTCCCCAAGTTCACCTTATATGCTCCAACTCTCAGGTAAGGAACTGCATTCCCTGGGGTTACGGGCTGAACTGTGCCCCCCACAATTCATATATTAAAGCCCTAACGCCAGTACCTCAGAATATGACTGTACTTGGAGACAAGGGCTTTAAAGAGGTAATTAAATGAAAATGAGGCCATTAGGGGACGCCCTAATCCAATACGGTTGGTGTCCTTATAAGAGGAGGAGATTAGCATACAGAGACACCAGACTTGTGCACGTGCAGAACCGCCACCGCCACCGTGTGAACCACAGCAAGAAGACAAGGCCGTCATCTGTAGGAGAGAGGCCTCAAAAGAAGCCAAGCCTGCTAACACCAGATCTCGAACTTCTAGCTTCCAAAACTGCGAGAAAATAAATTTCTGTTGTATAAACCAACGAATCTGTGGAATTTTGTTATGGCAGGCCTAGCTCACTAATACACCTAGGAATCAGAATACCAATAAAGAAACGGAAAGGAAATGCCTCCCTAAAAAGAGACTGGCAAGTATTCACAGAATTGGATTCCTGATTCGCTTAGCCAAAAACACAGCTCTACCTTTCCTTCTCACGGTCATTTTTCTAAAGGACCTACTCTCCAGAATGCTACATTTAAGATTTATATTTTACAACGTGTACATGTTTTACAGAGAGGGGAACGGTCATTTATACTTACTATAGGCAGTATCTTTCCCTTCAGATGAGCTCAATTTTTAATCTAACTGGCTGAAGAAATGGGTTTCTATACACATTCTCACCACAAAGAAAGTATCCATGGATATGAGAAACTTACTGTTGTTTTTTTTTTTAAGTGAAAACCAACACCTAATATTACTAGGTAAGTGGTAGGAAAAAAATGATTTAACCTTTTATACCTTCACAACACTGTTAGAAATAAGAGTGAAATACATCGTTTTCCACATCACATTCAAGACCCTTCTTTCGGTCCTCAAGGAAGCTGCTTCTTGTTCATGGAACAGGATTAAAAGTTAGCCAGTACTTGTCCTGTCACTTTCAACTGAAGCCCACTTACTTTCTAATGCTCATTTGAGTTCCTAACAGAAAAAAAAAAAAAATCAGATTTCTAAATGAAATGGTTTAATGCTCTCACTGCCATATTAAATCCAGACTTCTGTATGTGGATTAGCTCCAAGTCATCTCAGTAACTACCTCTGTATGTAACGGACTACATATGTGTGTAACTGCACGCAAAGCTTTGGGTTCACGTGCATTTTTTTTTATAGGAGCACACCCCCAGCTTTCGTGGAGGCTTAAATGGCCCGAAACCCATGACACTGCCAACTTTCAGAAACGTTTCACTCAACAGTAAAACATTTGTAGCTCTAGAGCTTGGCACCCCTTCCACCCGATACTCACACGTTCATCAGTCAACAGGTCAACAGTAACTTCCCAACAACGGACACTTCACTACTTTCTTAAAAGAGCAGGAATAATAACGAAATGAAATAAAGATCCACAAAAAAGTCTTTTCCCACCTCATTCTACCCAACAAAGGACAGAGAGTAACAGCAGGAAAACTATTATTTAAAAGCCTTGTGTCACTATTTTACAAGAAACATGCTAATAGAAACCATATTTAGAGTAGC